GTTGAAATTAATCCTGAATCTCCTCTCTTAGATTTCAAGCAAAATCCTCAAGTACAAGAAGGCGGACTCTTTGAATTAAAGAATGATTCTGATACCCTTCTTTTATTTGTTATGTAGGATCCTACGGTAGGATGTGGGAGAATTTATAAGGAGTAGTTTAGGTGTTTTGTAAGTAGTTGTAGTGTGGTCCCAGATTTTTTTTTAGCTTTAGCTTTTTTCCTACCCTTATTTTTATTCCTTTTTGGTCATATTCTTTTTCCCCAGTACATTATTTTTATTTGTTTATTTAATTTTGTTTCTTCTTAACTGGTTGGGACGTGTTCCAGTTGAGATCTTCTAGAAATAACTTGATAGGTCTGGCGTTTGCTGGATGGTATTATATTATTAGGTCTTTCATTTTTACGATTTATCCTTGTTAAAATGTATCTCTTGATTTACAATAAATAAATAAATTATACAAGAAATTGATCAAATAACCTCTTGGTAACCTAAAAATGTTTTAAATTTCTAATTTAATCATATGAGTAAAAAATATTGCTTATTTGAACAATATATTGATCATAGAACTTTTAATCAAGTATAAGACTAATTTTAACCCAGGTGATTTAACCTACTAGTAAATTTTATATAATTATATGAATTATTCATCCCATCATGTGATAAATTTGATTGGACTAACTAATATTTATAGTTACACTATCTGTTTATATTATTTTTTTCATTTTTTCCTTCCCCTTTCTTTTTTTTTTTTTCTTAGTACATTTTTTTTAGGTCTTTAGGCTCTTCCAGGTTTTACAGTTTCTAATAGAATATTAGCCCTGTTCATTTCTGTTCTGTTCTGTTCTGTTCCGATTTTAGTGTAATTAATTTTAGCCAATTAAAAAAAGGCATAAATTGAGTAGAAAAATCGGGTTCAATCTGTTCCGTTTATTTCTAGCCAACCATATTAAAGCATGTATTGCATTTTCAAATTTCGGAACACTCGGATCATCAATTTTTTTAATCCGTTGTTCCGGTTGTTGTTCCGATTTTTAAATGAATTTGATTGGCTAAAAACTTTGGTAAAAATCGGAACAGAACAGAACAGAACAGAAATGAACAGGGCTATTATATCTTAACACATTAAAAAGGTACGTTCTCTTTTTTTGTTGGTTATGTTTTTTAATTTTGTTCCTTACTTAACTATATTTTCTTTTCTTTACGCTGTTCTTTAACTCCTTTCTCTTCAACATTATGTGACACATTTTGCTCTTAACTTGTTTTTATTTGGTCATTAATTTTTTTTATGGGTTTACTCTTAAACTTAATTATGGGGTTTTTTCTTTTTCTTTATAGTGGGTATCTTTTTTTATTCTTTAGTCTTTAGGTTCTTGTTTTATTTTCTAAATTTTATTCTTTACTAACTATCTTTTCTTTACTCTATGCTGCTCTTTGACTTAATATGTTTTACTTTTCAATGTCATGAATTTTACTTTTTGATTTCATAGGTTTCATCATCATTTCATTCTTTAACTTTTTTCATGAGTTTCATTCTTTATTCTTATAGCTTTGTTCTTCTGTTTGCTTTGTGTTATTGTCATGTATTTTTCTGTGTATATGTACCATAATTACTAGTCCTGTTAAAAATAAATAAAGTATGAATTTGATAGTTTTTTCTAATTAATAAACTTTTATTTGCAAAATTTTTTTGTACTATAATAGTTCAAAAACATTTAATCAAAGTGTTGCAAATTTTTCAGTAATGAAAATAAATTAAATTAACCAATAAAAATTGATTGGTGTAAAATATAAATTGTTAGGGGGGGTGATTTAACCTGGGTTATTTAACCCAGGGGGCAAGTTAGCAAAACTCTTTAATCAAAACCATTTGATAATTGAATAACCAGAGAAATTGGTGTAATCACTTTATTATTAAGTTTTATTTTTACAATACAAAAAAATTTTATATTGTTTTAAATCTTTTTTCACAAGATAGAAAAAGAATTTTTTTTAAATCACCCATACATACCCAAGAGTGATAAAGTTTCATCAAATTATCAGCCCTGTATTTCACAGTTATAAAATAAATTTTTTATTTAAGGAATTTTTCTCTGGTTTAAAACCATTTTCTTTGTTATCTTATCAGAATTATTAATCAGATGACCTCAGAACATTTCCGTCAATGAATAAGCAGTATTAATAAAAGAGAAATATAATAGAATTTATTAATTACTAGCCTTCTGTTATTAAGATTTTACTTTTTTCAATTTTAGATCTTTATCTGGATGGTATTTCTATAAAGGTAAAACCCCTATTGGCCCTATATGTGATGCTTACACCCCAGCCAAATGATCGACATAGTTTTTAAGCTAAGTGGGCGTGCACTACATCCTAGCTTATAAACTGCCCATGGGCCAGATTAGCCCACGAGATCTGATTGGTCCAAACAACTTACCAACTTTTAATTACAAATAAGGCAATTTTATAACTTTTGACCGGATATTTACTTATAAACTCATGGTCAAGGATTGCATTAATGTACATTTTGTACCACCTTGTAACTATAAAAAAGGCAAAAATTTTTTCAAGGTTACACATTAATTTGGCCAGAATTAAGATAATTTCGCCCAGCAAAATTTGGCCGGAATTATAAAACGGACATAAATGTCCGTTTGCAAATTTGGTCAGCATTATAAATGCAAATATTATAAATTGCATCAATTTATCATAATCCAGTGATCATAGAAAAAATAAATTATAACTTGTTAGCTTTGTCTCATCAAGACATGTTAAATCGTTAAATTGTGGTTTATATCATCAATAGATGGAAAGTTATTGGCATTTGGAAATATTTAAGAATTCAAAAAAATTCTTTTCAAACAATGTAAATATCTTATTATTTATTAATCCTAAAGGTATAAAACTCCTACCATTTAATACATCTCAATACAATCCAACAAGCTGTGTATTATTTTTTTACAATTACTTGTTGACAAGTTAATGCAATTTAACTTTTAGCAATTTGGTATATTTTAACCAAAAAAAAATTTTTTTATTGTAAATTTAAGTTATTTAACATTTAAAAAATGATTTTTTGTTTTTATTTTTTACTATTAAATACAAATTATTTCAAAAATGCAGAAAATTAAATCTTTTAATTATTATTTAAAAATTATGCTATTAAATAAAACATTAATTTTTTTGTTTTTTATTTACTTTTTT